ATTAAATGTGTTTATAAGATGTGAGTTCTTATATTGTATGACTGGTGGGGTCATGTGTTATGTGATGGCTGGGAAATAGAGGTTTTATGTGAGTTATAACCTGTCTATTTCCTAGGGGAAGTCTGAAAAAAGAGGTTTTATGCGAGTTAGAACTTATCTTTTTCCAGGGACTCTGGCATGAAACACCCTAGTGATTTTGGATGGGCTAGTGATTGGTCATGGATGTGATGATATTCCAAGGGATATGATGAGGTAACCACGAGAAGTGATTCTGGTCGACATGTGCTTATTAGGCACGTTGCAGAGTTAGTGCTCTAGATGACAGTGAGGTTTCCTGCATATACTCGAGGGGACAGTGAGGTTCTCTCCAGGGGATAGTGATTTCTCCTGCATATATCTCGAGGGACANGGATCTCTCCAGGGGANAGTGAGGTCNCCTGCATGCNGATAGCTTNACGNACTGTGTGTTNNNAGAGTGGGAGGGGCATGGAGCATACCGATAGCCTGATGGACGGCGGTCCTGAAGGTGGAAAGGGTATGTTATACACCAATAGCTCAAAGGGTGACGACCCTGAGAGTGTATATGGGTTATAAGCATAACGTTTGTGATGTGATTATAAGTATGAGACTAGATGAGCTTCAAGGATTGGGAGTGATCTCAGGTGGTGCTGGCCGGATGGATCAGGAGGGTGATAAGGATGTGTAAGTGGATGTCTAGTCTAGGGTTTGTACTTGCGTTTGGAACCTCAGTTCAGACGACCCTGGTAAACAGATGTAGCATCTTGGTCGTGCATGTTCTTGTTTGATTGTTGCGCAATCAATTAGTCCAATTCTGGGTCTACGGTTGGTCGAATATGTTCTTGTTTGATTGTTGTGCGATTAATCGGGTAGACCTAGTGTGGATCAGAAAATGTTACATGGGTGTTTTCGGGCGAAGCTGGTCTGGTTTCGGATGGGAGTGTGAACCTTAGTGGGACGATGTTGTGTGATTCGAGGTCAAATCCGTGTTAGTGGGGGAGAATTGTAATGCCCGTGAACCAAAAAGTAGATTTTGGTTGGT